AAATTTTGATTTGGCCCTGCCAGGCCACAGAGAGCAGACATTGGCTTCACCCCAGCCACCATCTCCCTGGAGCGGCCTCACCAAGGTGGCCACGGCTGGGCGCGGGGTGGGGACGAGGGTACGGCCGGGAGGGAGGCGAGCACGGCTCCCCCTCCCCATCTCCCCCCTACCCCCCAGGTTCTGAGAACGAGGTGACGCAGGTGAACCGCTGCCTGGACGCCGCCAAGGCCTGCAACGTGGAGGAGACGTGCCAGCGCCTGCGGACGGAGTACGTCTCCTTCTGCATCCGCCGCCTGGCCCGGGCCGACGCCTGCCAGCGCTCCAAGTGCCACAGGGCCCTGCGCAAGTTCTTCGACCGCGTGCCCCCCGAGTACACCCACGAGCTCCTCTTCTGCCCCTGCGAGGACACGGCCTGCGCCGAGCGCCGGCGCCAGACCATCGTCCCCGCCTGCTCCTACGAGGCCAAGGAGAAGCCCAACTGCCTGGCGCCGCTCGACGCCTGCCGGGAGAACTACGTCTGCAGGTAGCCTCCAAGCACTGGGCTTGGGGAGATGGCCCTCGGGTGAGCTTTGGGGTTCCTCTGCTGGTCACAGCCCAGCCACCAGAACCGGCGTGCTCCCCTGAAGGGGCCTGTCTGGAGGCACCCATCCCACCATGACCCACCAACGTGAGCTATTGTCTGAGCGGCTCCTTCCCGTATGTCCTTGTCTCATATTCAATATAGATGTTAAAAAATGGGAGAATCATAGAATCCTTTAGGTTGGAAGGGACCTTCAAGATCATCAAGTCCAACCATTGAGCCATTAGGGCTCTAAAGTCCTCTGCTAAAACAGATCAGAATCTGTCAGGGTTGGAAGGGACCACAAGGATCCCCCAGTTCCAACCCCTCTGCCATGAGCAGGGACACCTCCCACTAGATCAGGCTGCCCAGAGCCTCCTCCAGCCTGGCCTTAAAGACCCCCAGGGATGGGGCCTCAACCCCCTCCCTGGGCAACCCATTCCAGGGTCTCACCACTCTCATGGGGAAGAACTTCTTCCTCACACCCAGCCTGAATCTGCCCACTGCCAGCGCTGCCCCATTCCCCCTAGTCCTGTCACTACCCAATATCCTAAAAAGTCCCTCCCCAGCTTTCTTGTAGGCCCCCCTAAGATACTGGAAGATCTGAGATGTTTGTACTGGAGTGGTTTTAGACCTTTTCTGTGGGTTTTTGGCTTTGGTCCTAAAGAAAGACCTGTTATGGAGCTCTTTCCAGGAAGGTGCAAGCTAAGCAGAGATGGTGTTGGGCTAAGGTGGTGTGGGGTTCTTGCAATCACTTTCACCAATCTGTCTCCTCACTGCCTATCATCTCCTCCAGTCCAGAGCATCCTAGAGGAGCACTCAAGCTATCCTAACAGTCACCGGCCCCTTGAAACCATGCCAACTGTCTTTTTATTAGAAAAATTAATCCTATATATGTTAAAAATATTCCCTTTTGCTGCAAGGCTGGATCTTGTGGTGATTGCAAAAAGATTCTCAGCACCACTGCTGACACTCCAGAGCCACCAAGTCACATCTGGCCAGGGTGGTTTGTTCCTCTGTCTCCATTTAAGCCCCGTGCATGGATCCATCCCAAAGTGCACACCCCTTAGGTGCTATTTCCTCAGCTTTACCATTTTCACCCCTCTCTTTGTCAAAGAGTTTGCATGAGCCAACACCTGGAGAAGACCACAAGAGAAAGTGTAGGACACATGTCCCAGTGTTGTTCCAATCTCTAGTTACTGTGGGGTTTGGGACTTCCTGAGCTGAAATTCCAGCAGCCACCCTCTAACAGCACATCAGCTTTAAATAGGAATTTTAAGAAATGATCTTTTTATAAAAGGAAGGTCAAACAGCAGCATCCTCTTGGAGGGCTGGGTTGGTACCAATACCCCCACCCCTCTGCACCCCAGAAAGAGGGATGAAGGAGAACTGAGATATACATCTGAAGCTGACTCTGGAAGATGCAAAGCCCCTGAGCCACATCAGCTCTTGCTCAGATTTCCCCCCCATCTACCCAGGGAACCCAAAAAGGGGAGGTACTGCCCTCTCCCTAACAAGACAAGTGGGCCCAGCAGGGAAGAAGAGATTCAAAGTGGAGAGTGTTGCTTCCCAAGGGGCTGGGAACCATTTCCTGCAAGCAGCACAGCTGTTAATTATCTGGTTCCTTGGAATATAGACTATAAAACATCCTCTAGAGACCCGTGGGGAGCAAGGGGTTGATGTGTGACCTGGTCAAAGCTAGCGGTGCAGAAACCACAAGGAGAGCCAGGAACAAATCACAGCCCTGTAAAGAAAGAGAGTCAAATATTCCAGGGCTAAATCTTCCTGCACTGCTTGGTCCTCCTGCAGCTCCCCTGGAACTGGAAACCCTGGAATTTCCCAGCTTGGAGGGGTGGCCTCTACCAATAGGAGTAATACAAAACCTGCAGTTGGTACCTCCCACCTCTAAATAATGCAGCAAAAATTTGGGCAAGAGTTTGTCCGGACATGGCACAGGAGAAGGAGTTTGGTATGGAGCCAAGAAGAGACAAAAAGGAAAAGACTGAGGAGAAGGAGAGAAACTGGGCAGGAAAGTGCAAGTCAGAGTGCTGACACTAAGCAGGAGCACCAGCAAAATGCCTGGAAGAGAGAGGTTGGCTGGGAGGAGCAAGGTGAGATTGAGTTTTATTGAGATTGCCCAGGCAGAGCAAACATTTGAGGTACCCCATTCTCAGTTAAAACAATGCAGGCTGTCATCTAAGGAGCCTTCTAGTGCTTACTTGAGTTTCCTAAGCAGCTCAAACTCCATGTGAGATGCCTTCTTACTTGTTTAGATGGTTCTGAATCTCCAGATAGGTCCTATGTCCTACCTGAAAGCCCCATGTGGATGTCCCAGACAGCCTACAATGTCCAAATACCACTAGATGCCTACGTGCCAGCAACTGACTCACCCCTAAAGGATCTGGTGGCAAATATCTGTTTGCCAGCATGATTTAGAGAGTTTACCCAACCAAGCTAGCAGGGGAGCTCCATGCAAAGAGCAATCTGGCAATCTGAGTGATGCACCAACTACCCTGCATGGCCCAGACAGTCCCAACAAACCCACTGTGTGATTCAAAGCTGCTTTGTGCTAAATGGTTTGGTGTTTTGGCCCAGACAATGTGAAAAAACCAAGGCACAGTGGTCTGTGGTCAGAGCTGTGGGTCGTACATGTCTTAATCCAAAGGCTCCAGAGAGCCCAACCTTCTCCTGGGACTGGAGGCCTGCAGCAGAGGATGGGGCAGCAGCCCTTGGTTTGAGTATTTAATATCTGAGCCCTTGGTCATCTCCCTTAATCTCAAGTTGACCTCATCCACATTTAGAGCATAGATGAGAGAGAAACTGGGCCAGAGTGATTCTTTTCCAGCAAATCAGCACCAAAATGAAGGTTGAGGTCTCTGGGGGGAGTTACTACCCAAGAGTCAGATGATGGCAATACAGAGTGAATCGCTCTCTGCAACAGCTCTTCCCTCAGAAACCAGCCTCACACATCAGAAAACAAACATTTCTTCCAAGACTGGACCTTTCCTGCAGTCCCAGAGGAAGTCTGTACACCATGAACCACAGCACCTACTCATGTCCCATCTCAAAGGGATAAAACCCTCTCCTGAGTTTGTTAGAAGGGGCAGGAGAATATAAAATGACATCCTTTCAAACTGATCCAGCAACAGCTACTGAAGCAAAGGATTCTGCAAGAGTGTTCCTCTCTGTAAACACCAGCAGTGTGCCCTTATCATAGAGTCACAGGCTGGTTTGGGTGGGAAGAGACCTTCAAGGTCATCTAGTCTCCTGCAGGGAGCAGGGACATCCCCAACTAGAGCAGGTTGCTCAGAGCCCCGGCCAACCTCACCTGGGATGGTGCCAGGGATGTGGCAGTGACCACCTCTCTGGGCAACCTGGGCCAGGGGCTCAGCACCCTCAGCATCAAACATTTCTTCCTTCTCTCTAATC